TGATAAGCACAGCTACAGGCAGATTGTGGACCCATGGGCTGGGGATTGTCTTCACTGATGACATCGTTCCTATGCATCTGTCCTTAATGTGTCTTTTGGACTAAGCCTCACATGTGCCTGGCCTCTATCTTATTTATATCCCTACCCTGGAATTGCGGGTGCTTCAGAGGTGTGATTCCCTTCCAAACATGTGAGAGGAGAGAAGGTGAGAAGCAGTGAGAAGACTGACACCAAAATAAGGCCCTTTGCTTTAATGAACCAAGGATCCTATCTCAGGAGACAGAGAGTGGAATGCTCAAGGGCTAGGAGTCGTGGCTGCTGCTGTGGGCGCTTTTGCCGCTGTTGCCCGTGTTGCCGTTGCTCCTGTCACCTTTGCCGCTGTTGCCTTTTCCGCCGTATTTGCCGTTGTCATGCCCCCCGGCATAGTTGTCTCTTCACCTTCTGGGGCATTTGTAGTTATAGGACCTGGAGTTGTAGTCATGTCGTGATCACGACAGAGCAAAGGACTAAGCTCTTTGCCATTCAGAACACAGCACATTTTTTCCTTGTTGCACATCCCTGAATGAGGTTTTATTTGTAGCTCTCCAGTTCTGCACTTGCTCCTGCAATTTCCGTTTCTGTTTGCACACTTTTTCACCATCCAGTTACCTACATAAAGGAATTATATAGATCATCATGAAAAGCAAAAAATGACAATTATTTCTTGAACACTGATTTTTCAATTCCCTTACCAGTTGCTTTGTTAAACTTTTCCTAGTCATGAAGACCTGCTCTGAGGATTAAATGAGAATTTAAATGAGATTTTATAAATATATACACACATAGATTATTTTTTATATATGTATGACCCTTTCTGAAACCAGAATTCTGCATATAAATACATGGCAGGTGTCTATTTTCCATTTTAAATAAAAAATATATAACATATGATTACTTGTGAATATAAAATCCTTAATCAATTTCAAAAAATATGTAACTAAGACACACCTAAGTAGAAGTTTAAAAACTATAATTTTAAAATATAAAATTCTCAAATCATTATTGTATTGCTTCCCACTGTTACTCAAATACACATGGCTTTTGTTTGCTTGGTGAGATTTTTAAAATGTCTTTACATGTTTTTGAGGTCCTAAAAACTGTTTTTGAAATGTATCTCTAGATTTGTCTTATATATTATTTTGCTAAATATAAATATATATTCTTCTATATATACATAGCTATAACTATGTATTATTGAGGTATTAATATACTCTACAAAATTTTGGAAATAAAAAACCAAAAGCGAGTCTACTAGTAATATATTCATTAGAGAGATATTCTGTAGAATATGGATATGTATGTGTAATATTATATACATATATAGTAAATGCTCTCATCACATGGTATATAACGCAGAGAAGGCCCTGAAGGGATGCTGAAACTCTTTCTTACCTTGTTCTACATTGCTTAACTCATTCCTCTCCATTCAATCAACAAATGTATAGTGAGTGCCTAGTATGTCAAGAATGCTGTAGGATGATGGGAATAAACAATGAATAGAAAGACAAGAAGCTTATATTGGAGTTGGAGAAAGAAAAGAAACAAGTAAATGAATAAACAGAGTAACTACAGTTTGTGGTAAGTGCAACAAATTGAAAAGATAATGTGATGTAGCGGAGAGTAATCACTTTTGAGTTCTGACTATTACCACTACTATTATCCCTTATCAACTGCTTAATCCTCTCTGAAGTTTAAATGGGTTTTTCCATACATAATATTTATATACCTACATTTACACTCAGAGATTTCTAGATGTATCTATGGGCCTCTCACTCCTAAAATCAGAACTCTGTGTGGGGGCCATTGAGGAAAGCATCCCTCAGGAAAATGATGTTCAACCCTAGACATAAAGGATGAAAAGCTCTAACTCTGTGACAATCCTGAAAAGTGTTTAAAGAAGAAGGAATAACATATGCAAAGGCCATGAGCAGGGGAAGAACCTCATACTTTTGAGGAACAGAAAGATTTCTAGACTTCTTTGTTTTCATGAATTTTCTTTTCCTCTTTTTCTTCTTTTGTATCTGCAAGGGCTCTCCATATGTTTCTTAGGCTTCAAATTACTCTGCACTCCCTCCACAATCCCCTTCAGTTCTTAGGATCCCAAATACATCCATCAAGATAACATTCTAAGGCTTTTCTTCACTGAGCAATCTATGTGAATGGAAACCACAGATCAAGTTTCCCTCTTTTCTATCCTGATCTTCTGTGGGTGCTAGCATTTTATTGGTTTTTCTTTCCAAATGTCCTTTCTAAAACCTCAGGATGTTGGGTTAGACTTAGATAATCTTACAGAATAATCCTGAATTGCTTATGTTTATCTAGAAAGGAAAACTAAGGAGTTTTCACAGGTCCTTTGGTTTAGAAAGGGGACACCATGCAAGTATGTGATGTATGCCATTAATGTCCTAGAGACAAAGTGAGAAATCATGCAGTCCAAATGCATAGAATTTCAAGGATGCAGTCAATCTAATACATTTTGTGAGGCAACATACTGTTACTAATTTCCTCTTGAACAGTTCTGCAAATTCTAGAGAACATTCAGTACTATCTGTAGAGAGCTGTAGAGATATTATACAATTTCCATTAAGAAATTGTACTCTAAAAAGATCAATTCTCACTGTGTGCCATATATAAAATACGAGACTGTGTCCAATGTAAAAAAACCCCCCGCACAATAATTAAACCTGTAAAAGAAGTTTCAGTAAGCAAAAGTTAATTAAAATTATTAAAGATATTATTTATTCTAAAAAATTTGTTAAAAGTGTTCATCCTCTCAATTCAAAGTGAGATAAGGAGCGAAACACATTTTGAAAATATTGAATCATTTTCATTGAACCTAGGAAAGTAAAATTATAAATAAGGAAAGTAAAATTATATAAATAAATTTTAAACTTCAAAAGAAAACAAAGAAATCTGTAAGCGTGATGAATAAACTGTTAGCATGCAGAACTTTCTAAGTGAGTGGAAGACTGCAAACAAAATACCAGCATATTTGCCACATGAAAATGAAATTTTTGTATCTCAAATAAATTAGTACATTTGTTAGAAGTAACCTATATATTAGAAAATATTTGCAAGAAATGTGAAACAGAAAGTTTGAAAATAGTAACAAAATAGTATCACTTGACAATATATGCTAGTTTTCTTTATCCCCTTTTGATCAATCAATTGAACTTCTAAAATTTACCAATATAATTAGAAGATCTTACAATGATATATTAACAGGGTTGTACTATGTTATTTATAATAGTGACACACTGGAAAAAGCAATCCAAATAACACACAATAAGGGGCTCTTCAAGTTAATATTGGTACAAAAAATGTGACAAAATAATAAGCATCTACTGTTAATTGTATATTCAAGGAATACTCAAAGACCTGGGAAATTTCCCCATATACATTCTTAAGTTTAAAAATGCAGATTCTAACTTGTTCATCAGTTGGTCACAATTTTTAAAATGTAAGCATTTTACATGAAATGGTGGCCAATTTCTTTATTTCTACAATGCTTTCAGTGTTTCCGTCTTAATTGTGTGAATATAAACCAAATGTAAGCATTACATGAAATGGTGGCCAATTTCTTTATTTCTACAATGCTTTCAGTGTTTCCGTCTTAATTGTGTGAATATAAACCCATGGAATTAATTAAAAAGAAGGAATGCTTATAGAAGCAGAGCTGAAATCTGACACAGGATTTCCAAGAGGCTTGACTCCCCCCACCTCTTCACTCAGAATATTTTTCTTCCCTTTTCCAACTTAAGGTCCTATTTGTTGCCATAAAGTGAAGTGAGGCAGGGCTGGACTGCACTGGCCCTAAGTGATAGCACAGGGAAGTTTGGGGTGTCATGGTCATTTCAGTCCTTGGCTTCTCATTATTCTCCCTCAACTCCAGTTATGGGGACAT